AATCTATCAGTGAGACATGGGAATAATCTATCCATGGGAAATTGGAATAATCTATCAGTGAGAAATTGGAACAATCTCCAGGGGAAGTGGTGAATTCCCCTCCATTGGTCAGTTTGAAGTCACCTTGACAGGGAGCTGCCCCATCTCATTTAAACTGTGTTTTACCTCGAGAGGTTGGACCGGATGATCCTTGTGCTCCCTCCCAACCTGATATTCTGTGATTCTCTGAGTCTATGATAGAAAGCAGGCGAGTCGCTCTGCTGGCATCCTTGTCTGTGTTATCACTGATCCTACCAAAAAGCCGTTTCTCTGGCACAAAATGTGTTTCAGGTTTGTTTTTCGCTGGCATCACCAGGACCAATTTCACCTGAAATGCCGGGGTGGTTCTCAACCTGCGGTGCTGATGCTGAGCTGTGCCTCGGCTTGCACCGATACTGCTGTGTCACGGCACAGGCGTTTACAGGGAGTGGAATCACAAATCCCCTTTATCTGATGTTTCATTTTATATAATTTATTTTTATTTCTTTAAACTCCTGCGGGGCTTCCTTTGGGTTTGTGCCCCATGGGGTCCAGTGAGTCCTATCAAGGCATTAAACACCAGATCCCGATCTTGCAGAGAAACCACATATTTCCTTGCACAGACCCTGTTTAGGGAAGTTTGGCTGCCTTAGGGGATCACATTGGCAAGCACAAACGTTGCCGGCGATGCTTTGGGAAATGCTTTTGCTTTTCAGTTCCTACCCGAGTGAGAAAAGTTGCTTCCTCGCTGCTTCAAATCTGTTTGGGGGCTGGATTTCCTCCAGGCAGGGGGGAAATCCTAAGGAGAATTCCCTTTGCCCCAATGCAGAAACATCCTTTTCTTTCCAATCCATCGCTCTGCAGCTGCTTCCTAATTTCGGATCAACGCAGGATCTGAGGTTTGCTCGGTGCAGACACCTGCAATAATCCCAAAACCAGGCTGTGCTGGCAAAGACCTCGAACCACAACCACAGTCCAAGCGCTCACCTCTTTGCCCCGTCCTTGTTCCCAGCCCCATGTGGCTCTTTCCCCCCATTTATGAACAGTTTCCCTTCTTACATGCAGTGCTCAGATGGATCCAATGCTTCATAATAAGAACAGGGATGGGAGACGGCAAAATCCGAATTTTTCTCCCCAAACAGCCGCGCTGCGCCCCTCAGAGCTGCCCTTGAGATGCCAATGGTGGGAGCGACCTTTCAGCTCCAGCCGGTCCTTCCCGCACCTCCAAGTTCTTCAGGTCCCCTCTGAGGTTGTGCAAGGTGGAAAAATGGATCGGAAAAACGCCGGGGGCTAAAGGTGGCGGCAAGAAACGGGGACTGCAAAGGGCTCCTTGCCCCCAGCCCCGTGACGCTGCTCCCGCTGCCCTTCGCCGACCTCTTGTCCCAAATTCCTCCTCGATTCACCCGGTGTCAAAGCCTTTCGGCAACCCACAGCCACCTGCCATCAGATAACGCGCTCGGGCATTGCTTTAATGACCGGTTAAAGGGCTAATAAACATCTCAAGGAATGGGCTTTTGCTATTTTTAGGTGGATGTGGATTAACGAGCACTCTTGTGACTTAATTGTGGGACGGGGCATTGCTACCCCAGGAGGTCCTTGCAGCTCTCTGTTGCTTGTCTTCTCTTTCAACCCTGTGAGGCTTATTCAGCTCTTTAAGCTCTTTTTATAAAGGCGAGATCTGAGCCCACATTGCCCGTGGATGCTCCCCTTCCCTAAATAAATGGGATAAACCTTGCGTAGCGCCTTCGAGGCCAACCTTTGGCCACCGTCACCTTTAATACAAGCCATAAACACCCAACCCTGGGAGTGGGGGGTATATTTATACGTCCTCTTAACTTAAAAACCCTTGCGATGCTGCAGAAGCGCTGCTGAATTCCCAAATTGTCGCCGTGTTGGGCTCCCTCTGTTGTCGGGCGCAGATGGGAGCAGCGTTGGAGCGAATGAACCCGCCGGCCTGAGTTTTGCAGGATCACAATTGCTTTCACCCAAAGACACAGGGCAAACAGCAGGGTTGTGCTGACGTGGCTGTATTGCACCCAGTATTTGCCTACAAGCACCCGAGTGGGCTATAAACGGGGCCGATCTCGTTGCAGGAAGCCGTGACCCGGCCGCTGGGGACAGGACGGGGTCGATGCAGGTTTAATGATTGATTAGGAAGGCGATAGGGGTGGCAGTGGGGCTGTTTCAGTCCCCGTTTCCCCATTTCTGAGGTGTTTTCCCTGTCCCTGCAGTCATCCTGACGGACGAGGAGGTCCAGAGGAAGCGCGAGATGATCCTGAAGCGCAAGGAGGAGGAGGCGCTGAAGGAGAGCCTGAAGCCCAAGCTGTCGGAGGAGCAGCAGAAAGTCATCGACATCCTCCTCGAGGCTCACCGCAAGACCTACGACCCCACCTACGCCGACTTCACCAAATTTCGGGTACATCCGGGGTGCGCCGGCCCTGATTCCCATGCACAGAACTGAGCGATTCCTGCCCGGTTTCATCCCACAACTTCCCATTAGAGAGGAGCTAAAATCCCAGTGCAAAACCCTTGATGCCATCAGCAGCAGGCAAATGGCCACCAACAAAACGGCTCTCCCGGCCCCATTCCTCACGTCCTGCTCTCTCTTCCAGCCCCCGGTGAGAAGCAACCCCAGCAACAGGGCGGCTGCCAGGTCCTCCTCCATCCTCACCCAGGACTTCTCCTCAGAGGACTCCACCGACCTCTTTGGCTCCGACGCCTTCACCGCGTTCCCAGGTACCGCGCTCGCTTTTCCATGGGTGATGGGAGTAGAAATGCAGCGGCTTTACCCAAATCTGACCCTTCAACCCCTTGTTTTACCTCTCTGGGGAGCTTATTTAACTGTAAGATGGGCTGGCATCGTTCCCCTCATCCGAAATGTCTTGCCCACAACCGAAGCACCCTCTGACCATGTCCCCCTCCTCTCCAGAGTCCGTGGAGCCGCAGATGTTTTCCAACCTGGTCCTGTCCGAGGAGAACGACGAGAGCTCCTCCATGAACATCGAATTCTCTCACCTCTCCATGCTCCCACACTTGGCCGACCTGGTCAGCTACAGCATTCAGAAGGTGATCGGCTTTGCCAAAATGATCCCAGGATTCAGGTGAGACAAAATCCCATCTCCGTGGTGGTTTTCCGCTCTCAGGAACCCCATCCTCCCCTCCACAGGTCATTTTTCTCTGTTTCATCTTCACAGCTGCCCCTCAGGCCCTGTTCCCTCCCCAGGTCTGTTCCTACTTCACGTTTTCTGTCTCTTCTCCTTCCTGGGGTTGCTCCTCTTCCATCTTTACCCTGATTCACCCAAAATGAGCTCCTGAGGTGCTCGAGGCCATGTGAAGGACCTCAGGTCCTGTTTAACTCCAGGGTGGAGTTCACTCAGTAAACAAAGCTGCAGAAATCCCTGCTGCTTAATTACCTGGAGGGTAATTAAGAGGTGAGGAAGAAGCTGGGGTGACCCCAGCAAGGGGTTATTGATGGAGAATGGGGTGCGTGGGCGACGTGGGCTGCTCCTTTCCTCACCAACCGGGTCTCACCTCCCCACCCAGGGACTTGGCTGCCGAGGACCAGATCGCGCTGCTGAAATCCAGCGCCATCGAGGTGATCATGCTGCGCTCCAACCAGTCCTTCACCCTGGAGGACATGACGTGGACCTGCGGCAGCAATGACTTCAAGTACCGGATCAGCGACGTCACCCAAGGTAAAGGCTGCCAGACGCTCTCCTGCTTCCTTAAACGTCCTCCCAGCCTTAAATTCGGGTGCAAAGGTCCCAAACCAAGCAGGCAAGCTGTGGAAAATGGCAGCACCAGCAGGTTGGCAGTGCCTGGACCCCCATCCCGGTGTCAGCCATGCTCTGTTTATCTCCCTGCACTCTATCTATCTGCATCCTGTGGCTGGAAAGAGCTTCAGGTCCCTTTTTCTTCAAAAAAAGGCAAAGCCAGAGCGTGGTCATAGCTCAGAGCTGTCTCCAGCCCCTCTGCCGTGTGCCAGGGGTTGAATTTGGGTTGCTCTGAGCTGGAAAGGCCTGGAAAGCTGCTGTGCCCCGTGCTGTGCCCCTTTGCTAGGAGAAGTGGTAAATCCTGCCCTAAATCTCCTTTGCTTTAAGGTTTGGGGAGCAGCACGGAGAGCAGGGCATGCAGATGACGTCTATGGACCGATGTATATATTGGAAGAGCCTTAGGGTAACCCGGGGATGCTGAAATCCTCGATGCTCAGGGCAGAGCCAGTGGTGTGGTGGGACCAAGGAGATCTCCTTGCAGGGAGGGCTCTGGGAACACAAAGTGGGGTTTGTGACGCTTGCAGTTAATTTTCATTATGAATTTCAAAAGCAAAATCCACTCCATCATCTCCTACTTTAGAGAAACTACCAGGGAGAAAAGTACAATTAAAAACCCAATTAAAAACTGGCACGTTTTAAACTCCATGTTCATCCCTCACAGTGAGAGTTCTTGCTCCAGAGCAGGTCATGCTCAATGTCTTTTCTCTTGCCAGCTGGCCACAGCATGGACCTGCTGGAGCCACTCGTGAAATTCCAGGTTGGTTTGAAGAAGCTGAACCTTCACGAGGAAGAGCACGTCCTCCTCATGGCCATCTGCATCCTGTCCCCAGGTAGGAGCGCGCTCGTGCCCCATGGTCACTCAACCCAACAAATTTTGGCTGCGTTGAGCCACTCGTCCCCAAAAATGTGCCCTTTCCTGCTTCTCCAGCTGGGGAAAGGGAAGGGAATCACAGAATCCCAGAATATCAGGAGTTG